TATTTGTCATTGTCCCCAACCTTGTGCGGCTCCTCCTGCAGCGCCCGGGGCCCGCCGGAGGGTCCCGTCAGCTCCGGGCGTTCCGGGGCTGCCCGCGCTCCTCCTCCGGGAGCGGGGAGTGCCCGGGGCTCGGCGGAGCCCGCCCGGAGCGCCCGGTGGATGCGGAGATTTCCGCTCCTCGCCCAGCGCTCCCTCCCTTCCGAAAGGCGAGCACTGAGAACTCAGCTAAACACAGAGTTATTCGCGTGTTTCACGTCCTGCCGAGCCCAGCGTGACGGCGGCCTGCAGGACACAGAGGTGCCCCCAGCTGGAATCCTGTGAGCTGGGGGAAAACACCGAGTTGGCCTCCGAAATTGTGGAGGGGTGTCCAAACCTGTTGGTGGGCATCCCGTGCAAAATACAGACTGGGGGATAATCACAGAACCACGGAAGGGTTTGGGTTGGAAGGGACCTCATCCCATCCCACCCCAGCCATGGCAGGGACACCTTCCCCTATCCCAGGCTGCTCCAAGCCCTGTCCAGCCTGGCCTCGGACACTTCCAGGGATCCAGGGACACCCACAGCTTCTCTGGGCACCCTGGGCCAGGGCCTCCCACCCTCACAGGGGAGGATCTGCTATTCCATATTCAGTTTGGAAAGTCTGTGCTCCCTGCATCATGTTTCATGTGCCCCAGAACAGTCTGTGGCAGGAGAAGGTGACCAGCACGAGCTGGTTGTGATTTTCTGTCCTGGCATTGAATAGCAGCTCACTGATTGTTCCTAGCATGGATCAGGAAGCTGGAATCCATCTATTTGCTGAGTGTTGGATTCTTTTTAGAGTCTTTATGGACTTAGAAATTCATGCTTGAGGAGAGGCCTAGTAATTGTAAGCAGTTTAATGCACAAAATGAGCAAACTGACAATTATTGTGCCCTTTTGTCTTTTAGATCAGCTCCTGTGCAGAGAGTTGTGAGTTTATGAAGCGCTTCAGCAGCTTCTGTCACTCTTCCTAGAAGGAGTCACAGGAAAACTTCAGTCTTTTGTTCCAAGAATTCAGCAGCATCCCAGAGCGGCATCGGAGCCTTGACCTGCTGAGTGGATGGCAGCACCCCTAAAATGTAATAATTCAGAGTTTCTTTTGTCCTCCCAATGTTGATATTTGAGTTCTTTCAAAGAGCATGAACCCACCAAAAGCTGTTCCCGTGGTGGGCACAGTAACTGTGCGAGAGTTTGTGGAAGCTGTGGAAAACTTTGTGTCCTGCTGGAGGAAGTTGCAAGGAGAGCCTGCATCGTCAGGAATTGAATGCTCTGAATCCCCAGCATGTGATTTTTGACCTGTCTTGCTTTAGTCCTCCAAAAATATCCCTGAGAGCAAACGCTGAGCACTTCATACCCATCATGTGGGAAGTGTGTGGGGTCACATGCTGCAGGCACAGAACTGGGTTGGGTTTAGGCAGTGCTGGTTCAGTGTCTGAGCAGTTCCTGTGCCTTGCAAAAGCCACATTTCTGATTGGCATTTCCTGGCTCCAGACAGGAAATGGGGCAAGAGGCACCTCAAATTATGAGGGTGTCTGTGATGATTGAGGAGAACCCTTGGTTTCCTAAATTCTTTAAATCAGAATTTAGCCCCTAGTCCTTTTTGGTAATCCCTGGTCCGTGTAGAGCCAATTCTGCCTCACGTTTCTCTAAGAGCAAAAAGGATTTGGAACGTGGGGCTGAGCAGGAGAGATCAGAACGGAAATTTCCATTTCCATGGAATTTGAGGCAGGAAACAGGGCAGAGACTTCCCCACTGAGACACATTGAATCAGAGAAGGATTTTGATATCCAAAATACAATTTCCTGCAGCTTTATCATTTGCTCTGTGGTTAGTTCTGTTAGTAATGAAACTAAAGAATTCTTGAAGTAACTCTTGAATTGGTTTTAATTTTAAGAGCAGTCAGATTTTTGGTTCAACAAAGGAAAGATCTGCCTGGATCTGAACACTTGGGTGTGCGAGGAGTCTGGGGAAGTCCCTGTTGTTTTCCAGCATTATCTGATGGGTGCATTGTCATTTCATAATTCCCGGAATTTGGCACATCAGAAGCCTGGGGTGAAGCAGAGAGCAGCTCAGAGGTTCCTGCTCATCACTCACACAACAACAATGGGTGTGTGGAAGGATGTTAAGATTATAAATCCTAAACACTGCAGAAGATCAAGATAATTTCACTTATCTCTGCAGGTCCCCAAGGAGAGAAATAAACAGGTGGATGCCTTTGAAAGGCTGCCTGGCCTTGCCTTGCAGTGACAGTGAGAGCACAAGGCTGGCCTGAGCCAGGGGAGGTACATCCTGTGGAGTGTGAAAAACATGATTGCCTCATTGTTCTTCCAAGACCTTCCATTATTTTCCCTTTGTTTATTTGGTGAAGCTTTGCCAAGTTTGGAAATGAGCACAAATCTGGATTTTTCTTTCTTTTAAAGGAAATACGACCCAATGCAAACACATACGTTAATATTACTGCTCTCACATTAATATTATTGCTCAGGTGGGTGGGCTCTTGCAGGGTGGCTGTTAGATTAGGGAAGATCTATGAATTATATCTATGATCTATATTATAATCTATGAATTAGCCAGGGTGATTTCAGACCAGGCCTTTTTGCTGCATTAACACTGGATAAAGTTTGTAACAGGCTACAACTGGTGCTGTCTGGGGAATTTATTTGGAATCTGGCATGGAAATAGAGTGAGTTTGTGTGGGGAATAAGAAGCAAAAGGGCAAAACAAAGATGTTTTAAGGGAAGGAGTTGAGGTTCGGAAGGCAGCTGTGAGTGCTGATGCTGGAATCGGCCGGGGTGAGTTGCTCTACTCCACGGCTTCAGGAGAACCGAAGCTTTCTGTTGTCTGTGTTATTTAGAGAAGATTTCTCTCGTCTGTGTTGTTTATCAGCACCAAAGCCGAGAGTGCTCACTGTGCCTCCCTCCCGCAGGTGTCTCCCTCGGCGGACATCCAGCCCAGGCTTAGCAGTGCCGTGTCCCGCTGCCTCCTGATATGTGCCCCGGTGGCCTGGGGCGGGCTGCGTGGGGCAGGGCCCGATGCCGGTGATCCCCATTCCCCGGCGGGTGCGCTCGTTCCACGGCCCCCACACCACCTGCCTGCACTCCGCCTGCGGCCCCGTGCGCACCACGCACCTGGTGCGCACCAAGTACAACAACTTCGACATCTATCTCAAATCGCGATGGATGTACGGCTTCATCCGCTTCCTGCTGTACTTCAGCTGCAGCCTCTTTACCTCCATCCTCTGGGTGGCTCTCTCGATCTTGTTTTGCCTTCAGTACCTCGGCATCCGCATCTTCCTGCGCTTCCAGTACAAACTCTCCATCATCCTGCTCTTGCTGGGGCGGAGGCGGGTGGACTTCAGCCTCATGAATGAACTGCTCATCTACGGGATTCATGTGACCATGCTGCTGGTGGGGGGGCTGGGCTGGTGTTTCATGGTCTTTGTGGATATGTAAATAAAACCAAGAGCATGTGGGATCAGGAGGTGATTTTTCTTCTACCCCCGAAATGTGTCAATATCCTCTACTCTTTTTTTTTTTTTTCTTCTTTAATATAAATTAACTTATTTCTCAGTGCTATTTTTTTTTTTTGTGGATAAATGAATGTACTTGTGTCTGGAATTTGTATTTCTTTGAAGGCTGAGGTGTCATTTTGAGTATCAAAGTGCAACACTTGATTGGGTGTTTTATTCTTTGCACATTGCAGGTTAGTATAAGTTTCTTTTAATCCATAAGAGCCTATTTTGCTGCTGTTCCTGTATTCCTGTGGCCATGAAAAAGGCAATGATTTAGCTGGAGGACAGAAGCCAGATAATTTTGCACTCCACACTCTTAATCCATCTTCACTGTTTTCCTAAAAATATTCCTTAATGTCTCAGGCATGTAATAAGTATCTTTCTTGTAGATTTTCATTTTGCATATTCCAAATAAGAATCTGGGCCCAAAATTCCAGACTATAGGGCTTTAAGGGTTTTTTTTCCCTCTTATTTTTAGATTTATGCAAGACATTTGCCCCACTCTCCTGTTTCATCCACTTTAAGGTGATTATGTAGCTTTGCATGGCTTTGTCCTTTTCAGGCATTTAGTGCTGAGTAATTGAGTCTTTCCCTAACAGCACAAATCCACAGGAGGGATGGGAGCAGGGATTGCTATCATGTGCTCCTGAAATTCCCAGTCACGGCAAATATGTTCTCATTTTGCAGTGATTAAGGGGGACCCATTGCAATGATCCTCAGTGTTCAGATCCTGGCATTTGCCTCTACTTCTCCCCAAATTGATTAGTTCCAGCTTTCTCACAGAGATTCTTCTGTCTCACGGAGCACAATGAGGTGAGACTGTCTTACCTAGGAGAGATTGGAAGCAGAGAGCAGTCTGAGCTGACAATAATTGTTCCCTGAAATGACACAAATTGTTCTACCTCTGCAGCAGGGAGAGGGAGGGTCACTGCAGAGCGTTACCAACAGCTCAGAAAGGTAGTTTAATTTTAAGCTCAGTTCTACTGGTCTTGATCTAAGATGTCACTGCGCAGTCAGTCAAGTAACTCTATTTCTGGAGCCCAGAAGCTGGCCTGAAGTTTATTTTTATTCTGCTTTTGTTTGTTTGTTTTGCCTTATGATGGAATATTGCCTTTTTCCCTGCATTCTTTAAGGAACTATTTGAAAACAAGTTGGTAAAAATTATGCAGAGCCTTTTTCCCTCCCTCCACAAAATCTTTGGGGTCAGTCATACAGAAATAAGCAAGAGTGAAATTATGTGACTGTTTTTTTATCATCTTGGTCAGAGCTGTGAGTTCCAGTTGCACACAGGGAAAGATCCTTCCCATTTCAGCTCATGAGTGATGCAGTCTTGCTGACATACTTTGGTTTGGAGGCTTGTGGATAGAAAATAGAGAAGCTTCTGTGTGGAGGCCAAAGCTGAAGCACCCCCTGAAATTCTCTCATTATGGAGTGTTACAGATAATGCAGCTGAACAGCAGAGCTGAATAAATAATGGCCATGGTGGTGTGAACTTTAGATCAGCCCTGAGAGAGCCAAAGGTTCTTTCTGCAGCAAAGATGTAGCATCAGCATCTGTCACAAACTGGTGTCTGGAACTTTCCTCCCGACAGAGAGCTCCCCAGAGCCTTTTCTGGGATTGTTCTGTGGTCCTCAGACCCTGAATGTCCTGTAGGTCTGAGCTCCAGCTCGCTCTGTGTGCAGAGAGAGATCCCAGTAATGCCCAGCCCGGTGCTCCCCTGCCCGGTGCAGCTCCCAGGCTGGAGCAGCACAGCCTGGAGAGGCTCTCAGGGTGGCTGTGCTCCAGAATTCCTGCACAAAACCTGTCACAGCAAACAGCCCCGGTGTGGGCTGGGAGAACCGGGATCCTCCTGGGGCGGTGGGACCTTGTTTCACCTGGGAGTGGCTGAACTGCAGCAGTCCTGGGGTGATTTGGGGTGATGTTTGTGCTCCCGTGCCTGGCTGTGCTCTGTGATGGACACACTCAAGGTGTGGGCTCTCTGCAGGCCATGAACTTCTCTGCTCTCACGGCGTTCTTTGAAAACCCCCACAGGAACAGGGTGACACAAGCGGCTTTGATGTGTGTGAGCCTGTAAAGCAGAGCAGCGATCATGCGATTAACACATGAATAGCAGGTGCCTCTTCCAGCGCTAATTTGGTCAAGGAACAAAGGAGCTTGCGGGTACAAGAAGTCTCACAACCTTTTTTTTCATCACTTGTAATTTGACTGCGAGCCAGCTGCTTTATTCCATAAATATGACAGCCTGAGGGAGCCTTTTCTGAGCTGTCCCTGCTGAGCCGGGATGGGGGATCTGCCCTGGAGCTGGAGCCTCCCAAGGTCAGTGCTGGAGGCTGAGCCCCAGTGCCAATGCAGATATGGGTGAGTGAGTGATGCTGAGCATAACCAAGTTATCACACAGCGTTAAAATCTCATCTTGGGAGCCTTGGGTCATTATCACGTCCTTGGTGCAGGGAGTGGGAGACTGAGCCTCGCTTTTACACCTTCCTTCAATAAACCCATGCTGGCTGCTCAGATTTCCACTGGCCCTGTGCTCTGAGGAATAAGGACATGTCCTTGTTAAATCATGAAAAATAACCTTTGCCAAGTGCCCAGTTGTTCCTCCAGAGACACCCTGAGGCTGAGCTGCTTTAGCTCAGTGACTCCAAAGTCTCAGTGACTCCAAAGGTGGCCAAGTACCTGTGCTGAGAATGCCCTGAGGATCAGCTCTCCTGTGGCAAACAGAGTTAGACAACCCCAAAATGAAGTAATTGAGGTGGCCCCAAAGGCACCATGATGTTCAAAAATCTCTGATTTTTGGTCAGTACCAGCACTTGGACACCTCGGTGGTGTGATCCTACCAGCACATTGGGGAAGTGAAGTCGCTGTGAAGTCGTGCTGGCAAGGAAGAGGAATTAATTTTCAACGTATTTGTTTTATGATGTAATAATTTAGACATTTTAGCTCTACCTGAGTGGAGCAATATTTGGCACTTTTCCTCTTCAAAGCATTTTCCAACTGGAGCTAATTAAACCTCACAACATCCCCAGGAGGTTGCACAGTAAGTAAGATCTTGGGAATGGTTCAGAATGTAAATTCATTGGTTTTAATTTTTTTAAAAAAGCTTTTAGGATTATTTTGCCAAAGTATTTCTTTCTTGCAGAATTGAGATTCCTAAACTTTCTTAGAAGCTGAAAGGGAGCCAAGCCACAGCCGAGGAAGGGAGAAAGAGGCAGACAAAATGTTGTATTAACTTTATGCAAAGAATAAGTTGAGCTTTTCCCCCCTTTAATTTAATTGAAAAACCTGGCAATTTTAATAAAGGGACACACAAAGTATTGTAGAATACAAATAAGGAAACAGGGGAAGCTGAACTTTCTGCTTTTCAAGAGTGGTTTATAATATTTGCCAGAAATATTTCAGGTTGAGCAGGTTCTTCCAAACTGTGCCTCGTTGGGGAAGTTCATGTTCTTTTGGGTATTTCACTCTTTCCAAATTCAGTGTTGGGAGGAATGGATCAGGCTCCAACATATATTAAGTCTATTAAAAATATAGATGGCTTTAACTCTAAAATTATTGCAATTTTCATTTCAGCATTCCTTCATGCAGATTCCATCTTCAACAGCAAGAACAGATGGTTTGCTTGGACTTTTCCTTTCTTTCCACGTTTGGTCTTTAAACATTGCTATTCTACATCATGGGTTAAAAACACTCTTAAGACTAATTAGAAAAAAGAAATATTAGAAATACTGATTTGGGAGAGTATGTCCATGGCAGAGCTATTCCAAAGCCTTTGGAGAATGAGTCCTGCTGGCTCCAGAGCTTCCCGAGTGTTTGGGTGCCAGGGGGATCCCTGAGGAGCCGTGCGGTGGCGAAGCCGCCTTGGGCCTGTTGCTCAGTCTGGGAATGTTGGAAGGAGACTGAAGTGTTGGAGTTTCACCTCGTTAACTCTTCAGAACATGGCACCAGCTGGTGTTTTGGGTGCCTGTAAGATTCTGTATGAAACATGCCACCTACATTAAACTTGGGTTGTTAACATGTTGGTGGATGGGTTGGGAAGAAAAAGGAAGAATTTCCTCTTCTCGTGGTGGTATCGCTGTGATGTGGGGATGGCTGGTGGTTGCATGGCAGGCTGGGAGCACAGTTCAGGCTGAAGGCTGGACTTGATCTTGGAGGTCTTTTCCAAAATGAATGACTTTGTGATTCTCAGATACAGGGCAATGCAGGGTAGAGGGGATGGAAGGAGCTGTCGCTTCCCACTGAGAGCACAGCGAGTAATTCCTAGGAGGTGCTGTCTTTCCTCCTTTCCCTGGTGGAGCTGAGCTTGCTGTGCAGAGCTGTGGTTTCAGGACACAGTTGTGATGCTTCCTATGGGAACAGAGGAATATTCCTGTATGGTGGACTCTGTCATTCCTATTATTCCTGTGTGGAAAATACTACAGTGATGTTCAACAGAATGAAACCCTAAAATAGATGCTGGACAGGACTTTTCTCCAGTGACTGGCAAAGGTGGAGCCCATGGAGCACAGGTTTTGGAGACCTGCAGGACCATTCCAGACCAAACTGGAGACATATTTGTGTGGATAGAGCAGCCCACCATCCCTGTGTGTGTAGGAGATGCTCCTTTCTCTCATCCCAAGAGCTGAAGAGTCCCAGGGCAGAACTTGAAGGGGAAGGAGGTTTCTGAGAGGGAGGAAGATTTGGACAAGGGTGGATGTATTTTCACTTTCAGTAATATGTGGATATTGAGCCTTTGCCATCTCCTGGGGAAGAACTTGTTTGCTCAGTTCCTAGGAGGAGCTTTGGGGCCAAGTTTTGTCCCAGTTTGTAGCTGCAAGTCTCAAAAAGTCACCAGGAACAGACTGGAAAAGAAACCAGCCTCTCACCCGCCTGAATGCTCACTGCAATTCTTCCCAGGGCTCTCCTACATCACTGACTTGATTTCCCACCCTCCTGGGGAGGAAGGAGACAGTCTTTACTTCCAGTTGTGGAGAAGAGCACAGCACATTTCCCTTCAGGAACAGCTTTGGCTGTTCTGGAGCCTGCAGCACGCACAGATAGAACGCTGTTCCAGCGAACACGTTGCTGGAAAATATGAAGCCTTGTTATCTTTCTGCGTTTTT